ATATCTACTTTTTACCAACTCTTCACTTTTTTACATATTATTAGTATTATAGAAAATCTCAGTAGTCATATCAATTAATAATAAGTAATAAATAAGTATTAATAATTGATTATGTTTAGATATGCCTAAGAAATGTCATGTAGCTTCAGCAGTACCAATATATCTTGTATTGATATACTGTTTAATTTCATTTTGTTCATGACCAAATTGCATTATTGTTCTAATATGACCCTTATAAATATATTTATGACTGTATTTTACTACTTGTACAGATGAATATATCTCAATGTTAATATAAAAGTTGTATTTACAACTTAGGTCAGAATTATATAGAATAATATCTTGATTGTCAATGATTTTGTTGTTGATTTCAAAAGTTAATCTATTATTTTTTCTAGCCTATAGAAAGTATCTATTATTACTTGATATTGTATTATAATAGGCCTTAGAGTAATTTTTTCATATTTGTTATTTATTATATATAGGGTATGCAAATTATAAAGACTGCAAGGACTATGAACTATGCAATAAAATATTGTATTAAAGAGGTTCAGATCATTTTGTTTGTTGAGAAATTTAGTACATACTATTTTATTGATATTTGCAGATTTTTTAATTTTGCTATCATTGTGAAGAAAGATTAAAAAGTATATATGTAGAAAACTACATTTCTAAAACTCGATTATGTATATATATATGATAGCTTTATTAAGAAAATTATTTTTTTTAATATCATAAAGAAGAGTATAATACTTTAAGTCAAAGACATATGCAACCAAATTAGGCTGATCTACAGTAACTTGACCAGGAAATAGTTCATTAATTATTTCAGACTATTTGGAATTTGCAGTCATTGTTTCAAATATATTAGAGTAGCTATAGAATCGAGTAATTGCTATTGAATTCTGGAATATTTCAAACATTTGCTAAGTACTTCTAATATGAGTAGAAAGAAGAATAACTCTGCATTCAAGGTTACTTAAAGATAGTTCATTTTTATTATTATTAATAGTATCTATAAGTCCTTAGTAAACATTAGCATATAGTATCTCTTGGTTTATTTATAGAAATCATAGTCTATTTTGTTCAGTTGCTGCCTATGAGTCAACTATAAATTCTTGAAATAACTTTTCACTATAGAAAATCATAGAAAATTCTTTATGTCTTGAGAAAAGATGAAAGAGTAATAATTTAATTGAGTAAGATATGATATACTGGCTTGAGTTTCAAGAGTATATATTTGTATATTAATTATAGTATAATGTAGGTCAATATGCTATCCAAGTTCATCATAAGGAAAAAATAAAACATAATGGAGAGGTAGATAAGCAGAATACTCTTCATAAATTCTTTAAAGTAGACTTTCATGAAGTTGAAGAACAATATTACGTATTGTTTTCGAGATCAACTTATTACTAGACAAGATTATAGCAATTTTATTTGCAGTAAGAAGGTTGTATCTACGTTAGTTAGTTAATTTATTAAAATAAAGATAAACTATTAAGTTGTTATTCTTTTTCTTTTCTCTTGAGTTTAGAGTATTTTATATACTTGCTGATATATAGGATAAAATATATTAAATTGATATAAAAGATTTTAGATTCATTTTATTAGGTGTTTATAAATTTTTGTATATAATCAGTATTAGACATATATTAATCTA